TTAAGCACATACATCAATAATATTTAATGTTTTATCAGAGAGTATTAAGTATATGATGGAATGCTAAATTCTGCAGAAGTATAGTTCTTGTGAGCAGCACTAGATTTGTTTAATATGCACAAAGAACTCCTGTCAAATCCCCACTTTCAAAATTGCTCCATTTACTACCATATCTTGAAGTTTTTGAGTCTTAAGTGATTTATCTTTAGGTATATTTGAATAACCTTCTCCTTTAACACGCATGTATACGGGGATAGGATTCACAGATTTGACATATGACTAAGTCAGTACCGGCACAGCTGTCATTGAAATCCAGGACACCAAGTCCTGGGTGAATGTTTTATGTTGACGTGCATTGAGAGGGTTACTCATTGCATGTTTGGATAAACACAGTTGCTTTAAATATTATGGACCCCGAAGAACAGAAGAGTAGAAGTGTCAAGATTTCTTTAGACTCTACCTTATTTTCAAAGGTGAAGTAGGCAACTTCTCAGTAAAATAGGACTTGAGGTCATTGGGAGAGAGTGACAAGTGAGGGGTGGGAAGGGGACCTGGGAGGAGTGGTCTCGTTCAGGAAGAGGAGAGGATTATATGGGCCACACTGAGGACCCAGCTGGGGCTTGGGACTGCAGCTTTCTTTATGGTGCACCTGACCAGAACAGTTGTCCCGCTTTATCCTGCAGTGCTATACGAACATAGGGTTGCGAGGACAGATGGTTGGATTAATTGAGGATTGACACTTTCCAGGGTCAGTGCAGCTAAAGAACTAGAGAGTGAAGGAGTTGACATTATATAGCAGCATACCATGGCGGACAGGTTGGATAATGAAGAAAGTGAAACAAGGGCACTAAAGGCTTGAAAGAGAATGTGGAGATCAAGTTTCTTTTTCCTAGTCCCCAGTGTCTTCCTGTGTATCTTTAGGGAAAACACGTAGTCTCTGTGAGCCTCAGAGCCTTCATAAAATGAAGAAGTGCCTACTGATGCTTGACAAATAAGTTTACGTATTATGCTCAGAGTTGTCAATGATTGGTGTAATGATCACTTCTGGGTCAAGTGCATGTTTTAGACGAGTCCCTATGAGACCATGTTTTAACCCAAAGGAATGCCCCCAGGAGAGGCAATTTCAGAAATTCTAACAGGCTGAACAGAAATTCTATCTGCCTGTGCCCAGTGCCATTCCTTTTTCTTTTTTTTTTTGAGACTGGGTCTTGCTCTGTTGCCCAGGGTAGAATGCAGTGGCAGGATCATAGCTCATTGCAGCATCAAATTCCTGGGCTCAAACAATACTCCTGCCTCAGCCTCCCACATAGCTGGGACTACAGGCATGCACCACCACACCCAGTTAATTTCTTTTTATTTTTTGTAGAGATGGGGTCTCACTATGTTGCCCAGGCTGGTCTCAAACTCCTGGGTTCAAACAATCCTTCCACCTCAGCCTCCCAAAGTTCTGAAATTATAAGCATGAGCCACTGCACCCAGCTCCAGTGCCATTCCTGAAGGCAAGGACCAGGACATTTTTCTGTTGCAAAGAATTAATGATACAGCATTAATAAGTGGTTATGGAGCATTATTATTAACGGAACTTACAAGATACAAAGGCATCATAGCAAGAAATAACCTTTACTTTATTATATCTTTAGTTAAAATGTTCCAGGCCCTAAGATAGTCCAAATGGTGGGTAATACTGAATGTCCTCTTTGGAAGATTTAAAAAATTTCCAACACCAGTGTTTTCTCATACTGAAAAAAACAACATTGTATTCATAATGTTAGAGAAACATGAATATTTTCCAAGTCTGAGCCCTAATTTTACTGAAACAGAAAGGAATGAATATACCTTGTTTCCTTGTGAACCCAATCATTTGGTCATGTCAATTAGCAAATAATCAAAAGTTGGTTAGTTAATGGCCATGCGCTGGAGCCCATAAAATACAAAGGAAGGGCAATATCAGGTCCTTCTCATCAAGCAGCTAACATTCAAGTTAAGTTATTCTTTGGGTGCAGGAAA